TCTTCCCTTTTCTCCCCTTCTAATTATGACCTTTGTGTGCTTTTTAGGGAGTTCACCCTGACAGCTGGGTTCCTCCACACCCTGTGTTCCCTGCTTTGGTAGGTGCCTTTACATGCTAAGCTTCCAGCCTCTGCTTTTGGAGGTGAGGCAGGTCAGGGGAAGTGTGTGTGGGGTGGACAGGATGACTTGCTCCTTTTTAAATCTGCTTCGGTCCTGTATTTCTTCTCAACTGAGACACATTCCCTGATCAGGCAGCTGCTCTGACAGATGTACGGATTTCTGTTTTCAATCTAGTGGTGACAATTCATTTTCTGATACAGTGGGAGTTGGGAGCTGTACCTCATTCTTGCACAGTCTCCTTTAAGCACTTACACATCAGAATCTTTGTGTAATTACATTAAATAAATGAATGTAATTTATCAGCTCTGTGAGGGCAGCTTCCTGCAATGCTCCTTGCCTTACAGGGTTCTTTCTAGTCGTCTACTGTCTGTCCTCTTATTTGTACGGCTTCTCCAGCAGTCTTGAAAGTTTTTGCTGTCCTTTTAAACCAGGATGACCTTATGCAATATGCTCACTAGAGCCTTCTGGTGCTGGTTCTCTGTTCCCTTTAACCACCTCGGTCCACTGTGACTGTGGCCTTGCTGTGCTCCTTTGATAGCTTGGTCTTTGGTGACATTTTTCTTTTATGGTTTCTATTATCATTTATTTGATTCCACTATAGCAGACACATTATACTATTTGGTGGGAGGTAGACAGGCAGGGTACAGACTTCAGTCCATGAAAGAGCACTGGTGATAAAAGCATTTTGAAATCTGAAAACATGGCATTATAGAATGTATATGTGCAGCAGACTGTGAAAATAATTTAAAAATAACTTCAAGAGATCAGCATTGGCTTCTTGGTGTTCACATGTCAGCTGTGGTCTTGTCCTCTCTGGGTAGTTGGCTCTGTTTCTGTCCTAGTCCCCATGCTCATGGAGTGGACACTTTAGTACTGCAAAAGGAAGCTGTGGTACCTCTGGAAACAGGAATAAAAGCACCGGGTCCCTGCCTGACTCTCTAAGCTGGCCTCAGAGTAAGTCTGGGACCTTGTGTGTGTATAGCTATGTTTCTGCATTGCTGCTCTTTAGCAAACCCTCTTGCAGTGCCTTGTCCTGGGCTTGAAAGCTTTAGCCCTGGTCCAAGTGCCCCAGGCTGCCCACCTTCAAACCTGCACCACCAGACCAGGTCCTTTCCACCCTGCTCTTCCTTCAAATGCTTGGCTTCATTGCCCAGTTTCCCACTACGTACTCCAATGGCCAGTTTCTGCCCACCATTTACAGCTGACAATTGGTTTCTGTTACCTTCTAGTCTTACTATACTAAAAGGTATTGGGCTCCCCTTGCTCCTGAACAAAAAATTCAAGAGTGATCCTCTCAACTCCCACCCAATCAGGTACTTCCCTTATCTAGTATTTTGGTTAGACAGGATCTTGCTATATAGCCTAGGCTGACCTTGAACTTACAGCACTCCTGCCTCAGCCTCCTGAGTGCTGGGACAGGCAGGCACCACTGAATTGGCTTGCTTACCTAATATTTTAATTTTGACATTTCCCTCCTAAGTTTGTGTCCACACAGCACGATCTCTCTGCATCATGAAGCTGAAACAGCTAGACTTCCTGTTCTTGGCTCAGCCCAGTACATCACTGTGGACAGTGCCACGTTTCATCATTTGAAGGAAAGAGCATCTTGGATTATTTCACAAAACACTTCAGTAGGGTTGGAGGTGTAGTTCAGTGGTACAACACTTGCTCAGGCTTGAATGTTAAAAAACAAAAACAAGGCCTCCAACTACCCTTAGATGCTTGACTTTGGGAAGAGGAAATTAGGAAATGGAGAATGAGGGAAAGAAGGAAATCAGTTTTCCCAGGCATCAGTCACTTAAGATGCCTTACATTTCATACTACAGAGCCGTAACAATAAAAACAGCATGGTATTGGCACAAGAACAGACACGAAGACCTAGACATAAATCTGCACAGCTACAGCCAACTGATTTTTGACAAAGGAGCCCAAAACATGAAGTGGAAAAAAAAAAGACAGCCTCTTCAACAAATGTTGCTGGGAAAAGTGGGTATCTACATGTAGAAGACCGAAACTAGATCCCTGTCTCTGACCCTGTACCAATATAAACTTAAAGTGGATTAAAGACCTTAATGTAAGGTCTGAAACTTTGAAACAACTCCAGGAAATAGTAGGAAATACACTGGAACATAGGCAATGACTTCTTAATGGCTCAGCAATTAAGAGAAAGGATGGACAAATGGACTTCATTAAACTAAAAAGCTTCTGCACAGCAAAAGAAACAGTCACTAGACTTAAGACACTGCCTACAGAATAGGAAAATGATCTTTGCCAGGTATTCATCTGATCAGGGACTAATAACTAGAATCTACAGGGAGTTCAAAAACTCCCAAAGAATCAACAACCCAATGAAAAAATGAGCACCAGAATCGAATAGGGAATTTTCAAAGGAAAAGGTACAAATGGTCAATAAATACATGAAGTGTTCAACTTCCCTCTCCATAAAAGAAATGCAAATCAAAACTATACTAAGATTCCATCTCCCCCCAGTTAGAATAGACATCTTTAAGAGTAAAAGCAACAAATGTTGGTGAGAATGCTGTGAAACAGGAACCCTTATACACTGTTGGCAGAAATGTAAATTAGTATAACCATTATGGAAATTTCTCTAAAAACTAAAAATAGAGCTATCATAAGATCCAGTGGTAACATTCCAGGGCATATACCCAAAGGGATATAAACCAGGATACAATGGAGACACTTGCACAATGACGTTTATTGCAGCACTGTTCACAAACAGCCCAGATGCCCTACAACTGAAGAATGGATTCTGAAAATGAGGTATGTATACATAATGGAGTTTTACTCAGCCGTAAGAATGACACTATATAGTCTGAAGGTAAATGGATGCAACTGGAGGACATGTTAAGTAAACCAGGTTCAGAAGGACAAAACCTGAATGTTTTCTCTCATATATGGGAGACAGATTCAAAAGATAAACATATGCACAAAACAAACATCATTATATATGCTTATATACAGAATGTTTGTTATAGTGGGACTACTGTATGGAACTCAGGGAAGAGGGAAAAGAGAACGATAGTCAACAATACTGAAATACTTTGCATCTGTACAGGTGGGTGGCACAATGATATATACTGAAGCTGTTGAGTAGGGAGGGATAGGAGGGAAAGGTAAGGAAGAGTAATACAGGGGATTGAACTGACCAGAGTACAGTATATTTGTAGCTGGGATACATCAAGAACCCCTTTTGAACACTGACTTTGGAATTAAAAATGAAGGACAGGATTGTAAAATAGGTACTGTCTGGGGGGAGGGTGAAAGATGAAGGTGAGGGAATATGCTTGAAGGGCTTTGTATACATATACGAAATAGAATGATGACACATTTGCAATTGTTTTAAGTGGTGGGGGAAGGGGTTGAGGGGAGAGATGGTGGGGGCGATCTAACCAATGTACAATGTAAGGCTGTAAGGAATCATCCACCCCAAACAATGAATATATGCTGATAAAAAAGAATACTAAAAAAAGGCCTTGTATCTCAAAGGCTTATTTTGTATGCCCATAGCACTCAAAAACTCATGTGGAGTGATGACCACCCTCTGGTCCTATTGATCCTCTCAAAAAGGCAAAAAGTTCTTAGATGAATTATTTTTAACATCCATGTAGTAACCTTTTAAATGCATACTTCATGAACCCCAGAGAAATACTATCATAAGGCTACTGGGCACAGGACTTCTTGCCACATATTGGCTAAAATGTCTTCCTTCTCTCAGACACCTACAATTTTAGATTTCTTGAAGATGGGGATGGTTCTGGAGGCAGATCCACCATTGGCTTTGTAGGTGTATGTCAGGAAATCAGAGTTGGCAGAACTTTTTTTTTTTTTTTTGCAGTACTGGGGCTTGAACTCAGGATCTACACCTTCAGCCACTCCACCAGTCCTTTTTTTTTGTGTTTTTTTTTTTTTCCAAGATGGGGGCTTGAGGACTATTTGCCCGGGCTGGCTCTGAACCTTGATTCTCCTGATATCTGCCTCCTGAGTAGCTAGCATTATAGGTGTGAGCCACTGGAGCCCGGCTGAGTTGGCAGAATTTATCTCACATTAGTAATCAGGGTGAAATCCATGACTAGTTTCTTCAGTTGGTAATTTGCAACTAAAAGTGGACAAGGTCTCTTCCTTTCTTCCCTCTTAGCTGCCGTCACTACAAGGGTGACACATCCAATGGCTTTCCAGTTCCTCCAACAGCCCTATTATGACTTTTTGCTCTCTATAAACACAGCCCAAGTTCCTGTTTTGCCAAGATACCCCACTTTCAAATAATCTGGACATGAGGGTGTCTGCAGCTAGTGTCTACACCATGCGATCTCTACCCACACCCTGAACTCCTCCCCCCAACTATGGCCAAAGAATGGTCTCACCGCTCCACCTTGTCCCCTTGGTTCTGTTTGCTAGTGACATGCATGGCTGAAGGACAATGTCCTAAGGTGTTACTACAGGCCCTCACAGTGGCAGGCAGTCCTCTCATTTTCTATTTTTCATGAAGTCTTCCTCATTTTCAGCTGAGACATCTTGATACTCACTTCATCTGAAAAAGACATGCTGGAATGGCAGAGAGGCTCAAGTGGTAGAGTGTCTGCCTGGCAAGTGTGAGGCCCTGAGTTCAAGCTCCAGTACCATCAAGAGACTTGTCATGCGGCAAGACCTCTCTTCATTTCTTTTCCATGTAGAAAACTTTTTTTTTCTTTTCTTTTCTTCAGCACTGGGGTTTGGACTCAGGGCCTTCACCTTGAGCCACTCCACTAGCCCTTTTTTTTTTTTAAAGATAGGCTCTTGTGAACTATTTGCCTGGGCTGGCTTTGATCCTTGATCCTCCTGATCTCTGACTCCTCAGTAGCTAGGATTACAGGTGTGAGCCACTGGTGCCTGGCAGAAAATGACTTTTTGCACACCAGCTTCTCAGGAGGCAGAGGCAGGAGGACTATGAGTTCAAGGGTAAAGTTGGCAGAAACCCTATCCCAAAAACCAAGAAGGGTTTTGGATACCCTCAAGCCTGTCCCAGTCCAGGGCCTCAGGGGTGGTCTGCACTTTGCTTCTTTCTACCTGCTATAACTCCTATCACCTGGCTTTACTTTCTTCCCCTTCAGACAGTTCAGAGAAACCTCTGAACACTTGGCTCTGATTAAGTACAGTGAAACAGCCTGCCCAGATGCTGATCTACTGCCAACTGGAATAGCTATGCCACTGCTAAGGGAAGGAGCCCAACATTGGGAAAGTGAAGGAAAATGCATTCAGGCTTTTGCATTGAACAAGGACGGTAATGACCACGATTGCTTTCTCTAGGGACTGGGCAACAGTGTTACCCTCTCAAGAAAAGAGCAAATGTGAATGCATCTGAGTATTTCAAACACCCCATCAAACCTCCCAGGTTAGATGGCATCAGCTCATTTCCCCAAGGAAAGTTTCCAACAGGTTTTGCTGGCAGATGGACAGAAGCAGTTTTTTACTTGGCGGTACTGGGCTTTGGACTCGGGGTCTCACATGTGCTAGGTGCTCTAGTACTTGAGTCACTCCTCCAGTCCTGTTTGTGTTATTTTTGAGATAGGGTTTCACAAACTATTTGCCCAGGCTGGCTATGAATTGAAATCTTCCTGATCTCTGCCTTCTGAGTAGCTAGGATTATAGGTGTGAACCATGGGTACCCAGCCAGAAGCGTATTTTTCAGTAAGCAGACATTTAGTGACATTTTGCAACATTTAATGACATAAAAAAGCATTTCAGAAAATCTTCTATTTAATGAGTACTTGCTTTCAGGTACTATGCCAATCACTTGAAATATATTTTTATAATCCTTATCACATGCAAGGAAAGTGATACTGTTTCCCCTTTACAGTGACAGTCTATCACGGAGAGACTGAAGCACAGATGTAGAAGGAGTGGCCCAAAGCCACTTGACTTGCAGCTGTAAGTAGAGAGGCAGATTGTGACCCAGATTTAAGGGCTCAAAGTCTGTCTGTTTTTCCTACAATACCACATCAAAAGCATTTCCTGGTCTGTGTTATAAATCAGTTGCCGCACAATGTCCAATGCTGGACAAGAACCAAATGTTCAAGATTTTTTAATGCAGTAACGACTTCTTGGTCTGAACACAGGGGATGCCCTAGCACTGGCGGTGCTGACGTTCAGGTGCCCTCTCCCCCATACCTGCAGTCTGAAGAACCACCTGGAAAATGGATGGAGCACAAAAACCCCCATTTGACTCCAGAGCATGGACTTTTGATTTTATCACTAACAACCATAAGTAAAGTAGGAAGACACACTTATTTGGGAAACGTTGTAATTAAGGACTAGATGATTTCATACTTCCACATGTGAAATTTCACTTAAAACTATACATGCACAGTACTATGTTATTTTGGTAATACAGCGACACAATTTAATGATTCTAGATTTTTTTTGGAGATTTTTTTTTTTTACAAGTCAGGTGCCATAAACATTCAAATAATCCATCTTTTAAAAAGTACGTTTACAACATTAAAAGAATTAAGTTGAAATATAAACCTTTCTACTTACAATTTTTTTACAGATTAACCAAATCACAAATACCACAAATAAATGTTAAAGTGTAACAATATAATGAATAAACATTCAGAATCTTAATAAAATCTTCCTTTAACATTATTTTTTAACTTACCATTATACTAAATAATCTATGCAGAGTTTTGGAATACAATACCAAGAAGGCACCAACAGTACAAAGCAGATACAAAGCAGTTTCAGAACTTTCTGGAGTGCTCTACACGGATAAACGGCACAAAAAAAGGCAACAAGCTTTAGGTAAACCTGGTGTAACCCTAGAGAATTTACTCTGGATTCCCAGTTGTTGCTAATCCATCATGTCAAGTTGGATAACAGTAGGAGAAATCACATATTTACTCCACTTTTACATGCTTCTCATCTGCATTATAGGGTATCATGTTTCAAACATCAGCACAATTTTAAAGCGCAAGTGCTTTAAAAATGTATAAGCAAAATGATTGCTCAGATTTTCAAAACCACTACATTTACAAAAATATTTCCCCTAAACTTGGGATTGCTCCAAAACATTGATTTACAAATATAAAAGTATTATGGAAGGACCCAAAGCATGTGTGCATTTTATGTGTGTATTAACATACTGTTACCATACTATATAAAAGTTACCAATTCAAAAACCGTATTAACACATAAGCAAATAAAGATAAAAGTCTCCTCTGAATGGTCTGAATATTATGTGGCACGGGTGGGTCTACCCTTTTGATTTCTCAGAAACAACCACTGGTAAGTTTGTAAGCTTCCCAAAGCTAATGTCTCCCGCCTCAGCCAGTGCCTATACCCAGAAGCAGCAGGAATACGTGAGACACGTGTGGACACGCCACACACTGTGCACTGCACAGGGAACACGAGAATCTTCTACTAGATGCCACAGTAGTCTGCATGCTGGTCAGCTTTGAAGACTTGTGTCAGGGCAGATTTCTCACCAAGGGTTCTCACATTCACCCCACTGGCTTGTTGGGTATTTATTTCATACCAAATGAAAGGACTGGAATGTTTCGACAGGATTTTTTGGCTTACAGTTTAGACAACAAAAAAGCCATACATCTAAAAGTTTATCTGTGCATATTAATAATGAAGGTGTTCGGTGTCACCAGTATGAATTGAGATGACCTAATCTGTACATCTTTAGAAATGTAAGAAGAGCCAAAATTCTGAGCCTACTACAGTAATAACTAGTAATTTTCACAGGTTCCTTGGTTATGACAACTCTCTGATCTGTTAAGGTATTAATGAAAAGCACACAACTTGTGGCTACAGTGATTATGGAATGCAGTGAGTGCTTTCATGTCAAATCTGACTCCATAGTACCAGAAAGGGGGATGGCAAAGCGCTTGAGGCCCCAGATATTAGTAGCCAAGGCTATGGTTTCTTTATTTAGAAAAGGATTGCAAATTAACCTCACAATAATATGAACATTCCATTTAAAAAGTACAAAGAAACAAGAGTAGTAAAACTGTCATTGCTCCTTTAAAATGAACACTATTGATGTATCAAATAACAGTCAAATTCTCTGTAATCCGTCAATGCTGGGTAGACCTTTACATGGCAGCTTGCAAGTGGAAGTGAGAAACATGTTACTTTAGGTCAAGAATCAAGACAGGATTAGGATTTCTAAGGATGAGTCAGTCACCTTTCTATAGCCATGTGAGGTGTGAATGTCAGCACCCTGGTTCAGGTGGCAAGAGCCACGTGAGGTTGGGCAGCCCTTCCCAGAACTCAGCTGTGCCCAGCAGCAGCTCTGGGGCACATGGGTAGGTCCTCTTTAGAGGGAACCAGAGATTCCGACCTGAGATGTTTGGGTTTGTCATCAGAGTTTGACAGACTACTTGAGACCCATGATTTGAGCAAAGGAACATGAGCATTACCTGTTGTGCAGAGAGGAAAAGGACCTTTCTAAAGCATCTGATGTAAAATGAAGTGTGGGGCAGTGCCCAGGGTGGGAAAGTGAGGTCCCATGAGTATTTCTGTTTGAAGCACAAACTGAATCTGACTGCCCATTCAGACACGCTGATCCAGAGGAAATCAACACTGAATCTTAACATGAATGTGAAGATAAAGATGTACATTTATTTCCATGAATTACATTGCTGTTCATATTAGCAGGCAGTCTTTATATAACCCATTCTCCATTGCTGTCAAAAATCAAACAAGGAAAAAAAAAAAAGACAGCTGAGAAATGAAAAGCTAAAATTAGAATTGTTTTTCTTAAATGATCTGCTGGATAGCATTTTCCATGGAACACACTCAGAGGTAACAATAGATTTTTCGTTTCAATCATAGGCATGTGGCACTTGGACAGTCATCTCTGCACAGGAAGCTGTAACAGTCATGCGAGGGTACAGTAATTATTGAACAAGGCAAATTTCTCACCACAGAGAGCAGTGGGGGAGTCAGGAGGCACCGCACTGGGACAGAACACCAAGTCAACTCCACAGTACACAGTGGCAGCAACGAATACTTAAAGAGATCAGGAAAATATGGAGAGCTCTGAACATGACTTAGTGCTAGCTTCTTCTGATGGTCTTAACTCAGCAGTATCAGAAATATTTGAAAGTACTTGACAGAACAGTGCTTCATGTCATGAGATCATGAAGGTTTTATTACAAATTTTTATATTGTAGGTTGAAAAGTGAACTTGAGATTCTGACATGCTGTAGAAGGAAAAAGAATTGTACACTTTCTCATTTAAAGACGCAGTGTTCCTCTCTGCTAAATCCTCAGGCGTTGAATGTGGTTACTGAAACAGAAGCCAAGATGCCACATGAAGCAGCTTGGGGTACTGGGTATGCGGAGTCCACCCTGGACATCTGGGTCGGCCTGCTTGCTACTCCTCCAGAAACTTTCCGTAACTCTGTGCTGCAACCTTTGTGTGTCTCTTACCAAATGCTGAGCATAGCTGCCATTTGAAATCATTACGTCAGTCTTGCAAACACTAAGTACTGCATATAACACATCTGGCAAGTGTTAAACTGCTATAAATAGTACAGGTTAACTGCACTAAATCTGCAGAATGACATGCTGATGGGTGCAGTACTTCCTTTTTATTTAGAAAAATGACTGAATTTTCTAAAAGCTGGACAAAGAGCACATACCTTAAATATGTTAGTGACTAACATGATATGAGAAAAGATGCTGACAAGGGCTCCCAAAGGATTCCCAGGATGGAAGCATCTGCTGTAGGCTGCAACATCATCCAAAGTATTTCCACAAGCTCCTGCTTGGGGGAGACAGTTATAGCGAACACATGAAGTACAAATTCGGGGCTGTCACTGACTTAAAGTGCCCTAGGTAGTAGCTTTCCTTATGGTAAAGTGAAATGCCAGTGACTGGGGCCAATTGGAAAAGATTCTCGTTCTGGTGAGGTTGCATGGATCAGCAGGGTGCCATGTACAAAGGATTCAGGAGAGGAACCACTGCATCTTTCAAATCAGAAAGTGATTAGTGACTAAAGCAACAGTAAGCAGTAGGTGCACTGAAAGTACATACTGCTGCAGGTCACGGATGCATGATACACACAGGGGTACCAGGAGGAATTCTCTGGACTGAAGGAATTCTTTGAAAGCATAAAAGCCACAACTACCAGAAACAGCCCCTCCGAACGGCTCAAAGGAGTCAAAGTGGATAAGCCGAGACAGGCTGGAGACAGGATCGGGGTCAAGAACTGGGAAGAAGAATACCGATGTCTGAGCATGCCCAGTCCTCTGAACCCTTGTCCTGTAGAAACACAAACAGGTAAACATAGAAGGACTCAATCATGTTGAAACAACATCAGCAGTAGCATTACCAAACAGAAAAGCGAAAAAACAAATGGAGGAAGTAAAAAACCCCAGTAAAAAGGTTACTTCACTTGCATACACCTGGGCACATGTACCTCATGGCAGCTCTGAAAGGGCTGGAGCTTTGCCTGTACTTTACAGGTATCATTCTCAGAGGCTGTTTCTGTAACACACACACACACACACACACACACAGTGTAGGTGTACACACACACACACACACACACACACACACACACACACACACAGTGTAGGTGTACACACTGGCATTCATAAGCAGGTTGGCTTCAGCGTTCCCAAAATACCCTTTAGTAATAACTGTGGTGTCTACCATAATAACAATCAAAGTTAAGAGCTTAAGGGTCTTTGTAAAATAATAAATTTCTATACAAAAAAAAAATCTGCTTCTCTCTGTAACCAGGTAGAACAGTCAACTGTGCACACAATGGAGTGTTACTCATAATGCTCAAGTTTTATCTGAGAGCAAAACCAAGTCCTGGTGGGCAGTGAGGGTGGTGGGCTAGGATTGTAGGAAAGTGAGGAGATGGAGCTGGTTCATGCTGGTGAAGAGGTCAGCGGAGATCGGACAGCTATCTTCCTGGAAGCCTTCACCTGTCACTTATGCTCAGCTGTGGTCTACTTGGCTTTCCAGGGGTCTGCACAGTTACCTGCAGCATCATCCAGAAAAGCACAGATAGCACACTTCCCCTTCACTCTCCTAGTGTCTTTTTTTTGGATGGACCTTGCAGTGCTACTGCACAGCAGGAGTGCTACCCACTTGAGCCATACACCTCGAGTCCATTTTGCTATGGTTATTTTTAGAGATGGGGTCTCATGAACTATTTGCCTGAGCTAATCTCGAACCTCAATTCTCCTATCTCAGCCTCCCAAGTAGCTAGGATTACAGGCATGAGCCACAGGTGCCTGGCTTAATGTCTCTGTTTGGATGGTACTGGAGTTTCAGTCTTATGCTTGCTAGGCAGGCCCTCTACCACTTAAGCCACATCCCAAGTTCTTTTTTGCTTTAGTTACTTCTCAAAAAGTTTCCTGTTTTTTTTTTTTTTTTTTTTTTGTGGTGCTAGAGTTTGAACTGAGGACTTTATAGTAGCTAGGCAGGGGTACTAACAGTTGTATCATGCTGCCAGCCCTCCCTCCCTCTTTCTCTCTCTTTCCTTCCTTCTTTCTTTTGGTAGTACTGAGGTTTGAATTTGGGGCCTCACACTTGCTAGGCAGGTGCTTTACCATTTGCATCACTGTCAGTCCCGCTTTAGTTATTTTTGTAAAATTTTGTTATATTATCGTTGTATTATGAGCCATTTACAAAAGTTCTTACAATGTATCATAGTTGAATTCACCCCCTCAGTAATAAATGAGCCACTGTTTGTCAAACATTTAAATGTTCAACTACAGATTAGTTGGGTTCATAACTTTTTTCCCCTGCAGTACTGGAGTTTCAACTCAGGGTCTCATGCTTGCTAGGCAGGCACTCAATCCCTTGAGCCACTCCTCCAGCTAGTTGTTTTTTTGCATAAGGTTTTGCACTTATGCCTGGACCAAGATCCTCTTATTTACACTTCCCTGGATGATAGGTGTGTGCCACTGTGTCCAGGATGTTATTAGGGGGATCCTGTGAACTTTTTTTTTGGTGGGACTGGGGTTTAAACCCAGGGCTTTGTAGTTGCAAAGCAGTCGTTCTACCACTTGAGTCACACCTCCAGTCCACTTTGCTCTAGTTATTTTGGAGATGGGGTGGGGGGTATCCTTGTGAACTATTTGCCATTTGCCTGGGCTGGCCTCAAACTGCAATCCTTAACCTGATCTCAGCCTCCTAAGTAGTAGCTAGGTTTACAGGTGTGAGCCACCAGTGCCTGCCTGAAAATTATGATGCTAATTTTGTGATACATAACTTCTCTCTCACTCTCTCTTTTTTTTTTTTTTTGCAGTACTGGGGTTTGAACTCAGGTCTTTATGCTTGCTAAGTAGGCACTCTACACCTTAAAGCCATGCCTCCAGCCCTCGAGAACTTTTTGCCTGGACTAGCCTCGAACTGCGATCCTTCCAATTTCAGCCTCCCCAGTAGCTGAGATTACAGGCGTGAGACACTGTGCCTGGCCTAATGTCTCCATTTTTACTTTAAGAAATTCTATTCCAAATCTACTCTTACCATTTACAGGCTGGTGGTTCTTTAGTGTTAGGAACCCTGGGGGGCTTGTTAAAGCCCAGATTACTGGGGGTGGGCACAGATAGACGACATGTGGAGAACCACTGCCCCAAAGTGTCCACTACATAAAACAGGATAGTGCCACTAAGTATCTATTCTTTTTGTATCATTCTTGAGGAATGAATACACTGCCACACAAATCATGTTCTCTGTCCTGTGGTTCTCATGAGGAAGCCTGGTTAAGGTGGCTGGTGCAGTGACTAAGTGCTTCAAAATGCAAAGAAAACAGACTCTTCTTTTGGGAGACCCTTATTAGTGTGACAGGTCTGCTAGCAAATCTAGTGGAGTGTCACTTTGATATTTCACAAGGTACTTTTAGCGCTATAGCTTTCACCTGCCACTCAAGAGTCAGGGCTAGAAAGATGAGTATCATGGCCCAATTGTGGACAAGAGATAGGCTATGGGGGAATTGACCCTGCTATTTAGAGGTATACTTTATCTGCTGCAGCCAAACCTACTGTCTGGCAGAAGTTAATCCTGCCCTAAAATGCTTTTACCTTCCCAGAGACTAAAGGGAGCCAAGGTTAATGCTCTTAGTGATTAACATGCCTGACAAAATTCACAAAAAAGATGAGGAAGAAAGGTGAGCATCTACTTCTACCTTCACAGCCTCCTGGGCGAAGGGACTAAAAAGATGGGCTTGGATGAAGATGAGGCTTGTCACAGGTGTTAACAACACAGTGTTTTAGACTTGAGTGGAAACATTTCCATAAGCAAAATACAATGAAATACTTTGATCCTTTAAGACCTCTCAGACCACTGTGGACACCTCTAGCACCTGGCCCCAGCAAACAGGAGTCTTTTTAGTTTCCTCTACCAAAAGGGTCTCCAGTGTGTAATTTCTAGTTTATTCCTGCTGCAGCTAAGCAGTTATCTCACCTTTCTCTAATGTCCCTGTGTCTCAAGGTACCCCTTACCTCACGCCCAGGCTCTGCAATTTGGGACTTTAGGGACAACACTCCTTAGTGCTGTGAATCAGTCCCCAAACCTGTGTTCCAGGGGGCTAGGCTGGTCATACACTAGAAAATGGCATTCTGGGTCTAAAGTGCCTGAGTCCTCAGACTACTTTGTCACTGATGTATAATTTTGAGACATTCAATGTATACTGAGTTCAGAGAGTTTCTGTGATCAGCAAAAATGACATGATCTAGGTTAATTTTTTATATTCTAAATGACTAAGCTATAATTCAGTCTAGATGTAGGAACAGATAAGATATAGAAGAAAACAAGCATAGTAAAAGATAAATTGTAAGAGACAGACAGTGGAAATATGGATAACTACTTTAAAATTCCTTCGATTTTTCAGAGTAATTAAAAACTGTTGTTACAGGAACAAAGGAGTCAGGTTTGGTGGCTCACAGCTATAATCCCAGCTACTTAGGATCGTGGTACAAGGCCAGCTTGGGCAAAAGTTAGTGAGACTCCATCTCAACAAAGCAAGACTGGCAGAACTGTAAATGGTAGAGTCCCTGCCTAACAAGGGTGAGGACTGAGTCGACCCCCCAGTACTGCCCAAAAAACCAAATAAAGCAAAAAAGTGCTCAGATGGAAGGGAGTGGGGGTGGGGGGGGGCAAAGAAAAGAGGAGAGGTAGTGGTGGTGTGTGGCTCAAGTGGTAGAGTGTTTGCCTAGAAAGCACAAGGCCTGAGTTTAAACCCCAGTACCACCAAAAACAAAAGGAAAGGGGAAGGAGTGACGGGGGGAGAGAGAGAGAGAGAGAGAGAGAGAGGGAGAGAGAATGAGAATAGCAGTGACATCCTTGCCACAGCTGGACTCTCAGAGTTGAGGTGCACCCTGATGGGACTTCAGCCTGCCTTGTAAGGCTAGCTTTAGGAGGCACTCAGTCAGGACCTACATCATGTAACTCCAGGGGCACTCTGGCCTCTGTCTAGCTCTCTGTGATGTAGCACCACCTTTTTTCAGGGGCCTGTCTGGACATCCCATTGGTCCTTGCTCACTAAGGTCTTCTTAAATGCTTCCAGCCTCCATAGTCACCTGAGCCAACATTTCAGGATGTAAAACTACCTGTGAGAACAGCTGAGCTCCTTATTAAGGCAATTGCCACATCTTGGGCTTGGCCTTTCTCTGCGGCTCCTCCTAGCCACCTTTAGACTGTATTCACACACAGTGATTTCCTGGTTTGGCATCACTGTGTTCCTTCCCTTACCAACCAGTAAAGAGCCCCTGACTCTCAGAATTCAGTATGGTAAGGCTGCCTTGCTCTTTACCAACTTCCAGTTCTGACACTGCCTTACTCTTTGGTGCCTGCTGTGCCCTCTGCCTCCTCTAACACTGTGTACATTCTTTGCTTGCTGTTTACCTGTTTCCTGCCTCCAAGCTGCTAGACATCAAAGACTGAGTCTTATTCATCTTTCTTTCCTACCTGGCACTAGGAAGTACTCAATGCTGACTAAAAGAATGATGAAAAAACTGACCCTCATGTCAACCCCAGATACTTGCCTACACCACACATAGGTACAGGTGATATTGGTGTGGCTTTTCCCTGCTAGACTGGATGCTCCCTGGAGACCACACTTAAATTTGTCTTTTCTTAGTTCTGACCCCATACCTAGCAGACTATGTAACACATCTGAACTAAGACAAGGAAGAAAATGGGGGAAAATTGGAAACCACCAATGGGCCTAAGGAAAATGGCCTATGAATGGAATTGTGAAAACAGAAAAGTGACGAAAGCTGCTCAGCTCAACCTTCTAATCCAGGAGTCAGCAAACCTGTTCTGTGAAAGGTCAGAGAGAAGCATCTCAGGACTTTTGAACCACTGGGGTCTCTGTCCTGACTACCCCTATCTGCTGTCATATAGCCAAAGCAGCCACAACTTTTTTTTTTTTTTTTTAACATAGGTGGCAGGCTGACTTGGGTTTAACCAATCTGCCTTATGCAGACACTGGGAGAGCAAGGCCTGAACCTCCTGAAGGAGGTACTCTTGAGAAAAAAAAACTGCTGTACGGCACAGCTCAGAGGACCCAGGAAGGAAACTCTGTGGGGATTGACTTTGCATCACGCAACTAACCATCCATGGCAAATGCAACAGACTCTACATCTGCATAGCTGCCAGGACTCTCTTCCTCAGTGCCCTGACCACACTGATCAGGATGGTTTACTACTGCCTACCTCTTGTACAGTGGACGTGAACTTCCTCAGAGCCTCGTTTCTCTAGGCACATCCTGAGTCAACACTGACAGAACACCTCTACCAGCAGTCCAGTTTAGAAAATTTGGGGTCTTTACTCCATTCACTTTAATTCATGGCTTTTCACCACCACTGTCTTCATCCAAGTCGCCAGCCCCAGGCTGGAGTTGTGGCTCAAGTGGTAGAGTGCCTGACTAGCAAGTGTGAGGTTCTGAGTTCAAATCCCAGTAATGCCAAAACCAAAAATCAAAGTAAGACAAAAACAAACCAAAAACTTAAACAAGGCTTCAGTCCCTTTGCTAGGGAAGAGCAGACCTCAACTGGTCTTCAGCCTACTTCTCAATTGACCTTCCCTCAATTCAGTCCCCTCTGCTCTGATACTAGATTTTTTCTGAAAGCTCCCTTTTATTCCTCCAAACTATTAGTATCTCTTCTGTAAGAACTCCCTCCCAGCTCACAGGCTGCTTGGCTTTTAGGGTTCTCTGCTCTGAGGCTGTGCTGTCAGGTCTATTCTTGGCTCCTGTCTACTTCTCCCTGATTCTTTGTTCTTAGTTGACAGGGAGTTGGAAGCCTATAAACTGCAACGCAGGGCTTCCTTAGTGGCTGGCTTCAGGTGATATCCTACCAATGGTGGACACTGACAGGGAAAGTCGTTATTTCCTTTTTCTGCTTCCAAGTGACACTTGCAGTACAAGCTTCAGGAGCAGCTCAGGCTTTTCAGGAAGGTAGCCTAGATTACTGACGGTGGCTTTAAATCCCCAGGATCCTCCTGAGTCACTGTATATAGGGGCAGACCCCATTTTCTCCTCAGCACTGGTGGTAACGCTAACAGATGTGGTTACATGAGCTCCCCCAGCACCCATACTTGATCAAGGACCTGTTTAATACCTTTTCCCCTTTTACTACTTTAGCTGGAGACCAAGGACGGCTTCCTGTAGTGAACAATCTGTGGGCAATACCACTTTCCCCTTTTTTGCTCTATCCCTTCTAGCCTCTTCTGATCATGGCTCCCATTTGAAACACTTGGAGTGGCTTCTGCTTTCCAGTCTGGATACCACAAGGAACGCTCAGCTTGAACTATTGCCTCCAGACCCCAATATACGATAATAGAAAGAATAGAACAGGAGAGAACAGAGAAGCAAAATCTACCTAACAGAAAGCATCCGAAGAGAATCACTGCAGAAACTGCTCTTCTAAACTACACTGTAACTTACTGTTACAACACAACCTTGATGTCACCTTGGCCACTTGTCTACAGTATCCACAGACATGACTGCCTGTGAAATGACATGTCTAGCCCCTCAAATGCTGCTTGTCTAAAGCATTTCCTTAGCAATTGCTTTGGCCCTTGTCCACAATGCTTTACTTCACGTTCATTTACAGAGTTCTAATATAAGCCCTGTTTTTTTCTCCTTTTACCATATACTCTCTAAAATTCAGATGTTTTCTTCCTTTGTACACTTGTTTTCTTAATTTACCAATACTGTCTCTTTATCCCCCACCCCTCATAACCTAAGCTCATGCAGCTTCCATGCAGGTTCATATAATATATATAAAGGCAGGCTAGCCTTTGCCTCCAAAAACAAACAAAAAAAGCTCCACCAAAAACCAAAAACACCCCAAAAACCCAGCTTTAAGTCCTTTTCTTCCTAAATGACAAAGTTTCACTGTAGCTATTATACTAAAAATAGCCACCTCAATTTTAATTTCTTATCAACTTCCCATGTCATGGTAATCTACAGGTCAATATGGATTGGCAGAAATTAAAGAATTCCAGGTGTATCTTTTGAACAATCATGGAAGATGAAGTGTAATTTCTGTAGTTTTAAATCATGAAGTAATCAGTATAAAAGCTATTTTCAACAGAGGAGGAATGCAGTGAATTCTTTTTTCTTTCTAATGATATTTAAATTACATGCTCTCCCTCACTAGGGTTAACTGTATACTTAATTCAGATACCTGACAAATTTAAGATCTGCATCCTGGCTGGAATCTAGCAGTCTCTTCAAAAATGAGTTCTTTGAGTTTTTCCTTAGGCAAATCATCCAATTCCATGTCAAACTTGAATGGTGCTTCAGCGATGGGCTTTAAGGAAAAAACAAAACATTTAATAGTCAAAAGTTATTACACTTAAGGTAGTAATTTACTGATTCATAAAACGACTCTGCCTTATATTCTGAAATTTATACAATAAGACTGGTGTCTCATAAAACATAAGAGTCCCAGGACAGGGGTGCAGCTCAGTGATGCAGCACTTGCCTTACATGTGCAATGCCCTGGGTTCTATTCCCAGCACTATATAAAAACAAAAATGGACTGGGAGTATGAGTGTATAGAAATAACACAATGAAACTCCTTTATATAATTAATATATGCTAATGAAGTCTAAAAACAAAAAAAACAGATTCGAGAGTTGAGTAAAATCATTTTGAATATTCTCTAAACTTATCACAAATCCCAGAATAATTTCCAAATATTTTAAATGTTGCAATAACAGAAATGTACCATTGAGGGGGTAGTAGTATGTTTATACAATCTAAAACATGAATCTAAGCCAGGCGCCAGTGGCTAACGCCTGTAATCCTAGCAACTCAGGAGGCAGAGATCAGGAGGATCACAATTTGAAGCAAGCTTGCATCAAAAAGAAAGAACCCTACTTACAAAAATTTAGATATAGAACTAGGGGTATGGCTCAAGAGGTAAAGCACTTGCCTAGCAAGTGCCCCCAAGTTCAAACCCCAGTACTACCACCATCAAAATAAATAAATAAATAAGATATAGAATGTAAGACTGGGAAAGAAAACACTCTCCCCCAAAATTTGGGGTGGTGGGGCCGTTTTGGGGATTGAACTTAGGTCATACTTCTAGGCAAACAGTCTCCTGCTAGAGCCACACTCCCAGTCTAAAAAAATATTTTTAAAGAATTTTTTGACACAAGAGGCCACGAATAGCCAAGGCAATACTCAGTCAAAAGAACAATGCAGGCGGTATCACAATACCTGACTTCAAACTATATTACAAAGCAATAACAATAAAAACAGCATGGTACTGGCACAAAAACAGACAGGAAGACCAGTGAAACAGAATAGAGGACCCAGATATGAAGCCACACAACTATAAGCAACTTATCTTTGACAAAGGAGCTAAAAATATACGATGGAGAAATAGCAGCCTCTTCAACAAAAATTGCTGGGAAAACTGGTTAGCAGTCTGCAAAAAACTGAAACTAGATCCATGTTTATCACCCTATACCAAAATTAACTCAAAATGGATCAAGGATCTTAATATCAGACCCCAAACTCTTAAGTTGATACAAGAAAGAGTAGGAAATACTCTGGAGTTAGTAGGTATAGGTAAGAACTTTCTCAATGCAACCCCAGCAGCACAGCAACTAAGAGATAGCATAGATAAATGGGACCTCATAAAACTAAAAAGCTTCTGTTCATCAAAAGAAATGGTCTCTAAACTGAAGAGAACACCCACAGAGTGGGAGAAAATATTTGCCAACTATACATCAGACAAAGGACTGATAACCAGAATATACAGGGAACTTAAAAAACTAAATTCTCCCAAAACTAATGAACCAATAAAGAAATGGGAAGTGAACTAAACAGAACTTTCTCAAAAGAAGAAATTCAAATGGCCAGAAAACACATGAAAAAATGCTCACCATCTCTAGCAATAAAGGAAATGCAAATTAAAACCACACTAAGATTCCACCTCACCCCTGTTAGAATAGCCATCATCAGCAACACCACCAACAACAGGTGTTGGCGAGGATGCGGGAAAAAGGAACCCTCTTACACTGTTGGTGGGAATGTAGACTAGTACAACCACTCTGGAAAAAAATTTGGAGGCTACTTAAAAAGCTGGACATCGATCTACCATTTGATCCAGCAATACCACTCTTGGGGATATACCCAAAAGACTGTTACTCCAGAGGCACCTGCACACCATGTTTATTGCGGCACTATTCACAATAGCCAAGTTATGGAAACAGCCAAGATGCCCCACACTGACGAACGGATTAAGAAAATGTGGTATCTATACACAATGGAATTTTATGCAGCCATGAAGAAGAACGAAATGTTATCATTCGCTGGTAAATGGATGGAATTGGAGAACATCATTCTGAGTGAGGTTAGCCTGGCTCAAAAAACCAAAAATCGTATGTTCTCCCTCATATGTGGACATTAGATCAAGGGCAAACACAACAAGGGGATTGGACTATGAGCACATGATAAAAGCGAGAGCACACAAGGGAGGGGTGAGGATAGGTAAGACACCTAAAAAACTAGCTAGCATTTGTTGCCCTTAACGCAGAGAAACTAAAGCAGATACCTTAAAGCAACTGAGGCCAATAGGAAAAGGGGAACAGGTACTAGAGAAAAGGTTAGATCAAAAAGAATTAACCTAGAAGGTAACACCCATGCACAGGAAATCAATGTGAGTCAATGCCCTGTATAGCTATCCTTATCTCAACCAGCAAAAACCCTTGTTCCTTCCTATTATTGCTTATACTCTCTCTACAACAAAATTAGAAATAAGGGCAAAATAGTTTCTGCTGGATATTGGGGGGGGGGAGAGGGAGGGGGCGGAGTGGGTGGTAAGGGAGGGGGTGGGGGCAGGGGGGAGAAATGAACCAAGCCTTGTATGCACATATGAATAATAAAAGAAAAATGGAAAAAAAAAAAAAGAATTTTTTGAGATAAGGTCTTATTATTATTCTCATGTACGCGCATGAACGTTTATGTGTGTGTGTATATATATATATGCACACATATATACATACATATATACCATATATATATATACGGCTCAGGCTGGCCTCAAACTCATGATCCTCTTGCCTCAGTCTTCCAAGTGCTGACATTATAGTTGTGTGCCAAGATACCCAGCTACGTTTTGATTTTTAAATGTCCACAACTAAAGCGTTATAGGACTAAACTGTCAATCAGTGGATGCACAGATCTCAGATCTCACCCACCTAATCCTCACACAAGGCTTTTATTGAGAGGACATGTGAACCCCAAACACTGCACTATACTTTGGCCACACACAATGGAAAGAGGAGTCATGTCTACAAGAAGGGAACAAGTAGCGCTTCCTGAAAATAGCTCTATGTGATGTCCTACATATGTCATCCGCTGCACTAGTTCACTGATTAGGACACCAGTACCTTAGGAAATCCCCAGCTCGCAAAGCTGGGAAGAGACCTGACCCTCATATTCCCACCTATTTTGTGTCACTGTGTTGTAGATTTCTCTGCAAGCTACTGCAAATATTTGTTTGGGGGAAGGGGTGGATGTGGACATGGGGTGGGACTGATTAATACTTCTTCATTTTGATTTCTATCGTCTTTATCAGCTTAGCTTTGATAGTTTTTTTCCTTTCCTTTTCCATTTTGTTCCTTAATTTTAACATCTCCTTCTTGTTCTGTCCTTTAAGAGTAGAATGTGAAGATTTTATTTTCTAATCACACAGAAACCCCTAATAGAACAATCTAAACTTTGGCTTATGTTGCATTTTTCTTTGCTATACTCCAGAGAATAAAGGCTAAAACTCAACCCACAGAGGGACCAGACGGAAGATAGTGGGACTGCCCTGGAAAGAACATGATACAAAGTACATTCAGTCTGCTCTAAAGAGATGCACACCCAACTCTGAACTCATAATCTCTCACAACAGACTCTGTGTCCTGTCTTCAAGGAACCACACAACCAACACAGTCACCAAGCAATGGTATAAAACATGCAGGTGACTTCTCTTCATTCTGCATACTGTCCCATGGGTTCAGGTGTCTCTTGCTGCCAAGGACCATGACAATCTACAGCCTTAGACCCTTACCCTCTCCATGCTCTAGTGGTGTAGCTGTTCTCCTTTGTCCATGCATTTCCTTGGCCCCCACCTCCTACAGGTGGTTGGAAGTTTTTTGAGGTAAACAGAAAGGGGTAGGGGCAAGGGTTCTGAGTTATCTCCCACAGTGCTTACCCTCAAGCCAGACAAGGCAGGTGTGTTAGAAGGACAAGGTATACCATCATGCAGTCTAAGCAGGATGTGGTTGGGCCCACTTCATAGTTGGTCTACAGCTATGAAGAAGCAGTCAGGAGCATGGGCTCTTACCTCATCACTTGGGTCATAATACTGCTCCAGATATGGGTGGGCCAGAGCCTGTTCGACTTCAATCCTTTTGTGAGGGTTGAATGTCAGCATTTTGTCCAATAAGTCCAGAGCTACAAAGAGAAAAGTTTTGCAGTGGTGAGAAGTAGTAGTCACTAAAATACTTTCCATTTCCTGTTTAAGTAAACTGAACCATAAGACTATAATAGAGGGAAGCATCACTGTGGCGTGAGAACCCAGCACACTGAATACTTACTGAATCTTTTGAAACTATGTCAATGTAGGTACTGGACATCTGACAACTGTAGATTCCAATGCTCAGAAAGGTAGAGTGGTCAGCCAAAGGTTAAAAGTGGAAGATTGGAATTTAAACCCAATCTGTAAAATCTGAACATTTCCTAAATCACTACTCTGCTTTAAAGGTATCAAAAGCAAAGTACTTCTCTCACATCAACTTCAAAGTTATTTTTGCATTGGTCATTTTGTTTCTCAACACACAGAAAAGGCCTGCAAGGCCACAGAAGAAAACAGTTGTCTTTTCTGTTCTGGCTGAAAGTCATGTGTGACCCACAGGCCCCAAGTCTACCCTGCAGGCTTGGAGTCTTTCTGCAGAGCCCAAAGCTGAAAGCACTCTTTTGGCTTGGCCAGTCATCAACAGCTGAGTGCTCTTTCATGTTAGGAGTCCAGCAGTAAAGAATGGGACACTGAGAATGGGACAAGGGGGCAGACAGAGAACAGGATGCTCTGCTGGGTATCTGACACTAGTGTCTAGGCTCCCCCTCAAGTCAAGAAGATGGGCAAATGGCAAGGCTAACAGTGCTTAGGATAAAGAATCGGGGAAATGATAAAAGCCTTCCTGGGTTAGCAGGAGCAGGCATTCATGAGAAAGAATGTATGCCACTTGCAGGCAGCAAAAAGGGATTATTTTAAAACCATTTCATGTTTTATTTAATAATGACCAGCCCAGTGGGTGTCAACTTAAGGAGGTCCTTCCTTCAAATTACACCATAACAGGAGCCTCAAGATACAGAATAAGAAAGGAGCTACAAAAATCCTCTCTTAGATCCTAGCTCACAGACCCTCCAGGACTCCTGAAAAACCTAAGACTCAAGTCTAAAAACCTACTGCAAGTCTGAAAAACTAACAGCCAGTAAAGAATATTCATTTTTAGAGACTACAAACAACAGGAAGAAAACAAAAAATATGGGCATCTACTTTTTTGTTTTTTGGAAGTACTGGTGTTTGAACTCAGGGCCAGCTGGGCATCTACTTAATGAAGTCTCTTTTCTTACAATGATCATTTCTTAGTAGGTTGTTTGTAGTAGCAGCATCTACCTTGCCCATCTGCCAATCACTACATGCTATTAAGCCATAAGAATAGAATGGTAAAAGATCATTTAATAACCAAAATGTATTGCCACAATTTCATATTCATGATCAACTTAAGTAAATCAGTTCTAGCTTACTTTACTGAAATAAGTTTTTAATTATTCACTCATTAAAAAATGTTGCTCAACCCTTGAAAGCAGATCAGTAAACCTTCTGAAGCTCGTCTGCTAGATGAGATGGGGACCAGGATGCTCCCCATCTGGGCCAATAATAATAATAAATGTGGCAAACCACATGATGGATGCCGCGAGCAATTCCACCTAATAGAACTATTCTCTTATCCAATATATGCGGTTCCTTTATAAGACCACATAATGAATTTCTATAATACAGCTCAAATTTGTTTCTGCTTCTGTGTCTAGCTTTTTCAATACACATTCACAAGCATACTTTAGGAAATTACAGAATAATGACACTGCTTTACAGGCTATATGAACATTTTGGAGCAGAAAAAGTTCTCCAGAGAGCAGAGTCTAGCCAGCTCATGCCTATAGCTGGACATGGGGTCTACAGGCTGTTGAAGTTTAGGAGGTAGTCCTCTCAATGGTAAGGACAGTAGTGCATGATGGTTAAGAACCCAGTCATTTCTAGCTTAAATCCTAGTGGCACTGACTACTTAGTAGAGACGGATGCCAAGCTTTAGGCTTCTCTAACCTACAATAAAGATAGTAAGGCCTACCTGACTTTCTGCTCTTGACCATGCCTCACCACAAAGAGATCACAGATATTCTCCCAATGTTTTCTTGAGACGCAGTTATTTGGGCTGAGTGTGGTGGCACGCACTTGTAATGCCAGCACTTGGGAGGCAGGAGTAGGAGGATCATGAGTTTGAAGTCAGTATGGGCTATGTAGGACCTATCTCAAAAACCCAGCAAAGGGCTGGTGGTGGTAGTATACAGCTGTAATCCCAGCTACTCAGGAGGCAGAGATCGGGAGCATTATGGTTCCAGGCCAGCCCAGGGCAAAAAGTTACTGAGATTCTATCTGGGCATGGTGGTTGGTGGTTCAATCCTGTAATTCCAGGTATGTAGGAGGCACAGGTAGAAGGATCTTGGTCTGAGGCCAGGCCCAGGCAAAAAATGTGACACTTTATCCAAAAATAACTAAAGGGAAAAAAAAAAAAAAAAGACTGGGGGTGAGGCTCAAGAGGAAGAGTGCCTGCCTTGCAAATGTGAGGTCCTGAGTTTAAACCTCAGTACCACACACAGAAAAAAACCCCCAACAACCCTGTCCCCACCAAAAAGTCATCTGGTCTTCTGCCCAATTAGGCACCATCTATGCTAGGAAAAGCCCAGGAGAACTTGACCAGATTCTAGTAGCATTTTTCTAAGCTGTTGGTTTGGGGGCACTTCTCAAACTTGTTGGTATTAAGTAGGAAAGCATTCAAGGAAACTAGGTATTCTGCAGCTTAAGCATTTTTAAAATAGATCTGTTAGTTCCTTCTAGTTAAATTCTAGGCCCTTAACTTCCAGACAAAAATTTCAAAAGATGGCTACCCCCCATTTGCAAAATAACTAGATCTCAGCTTAGCCTCCTTTTATTGCAAGTGCTATTTCTGCATTATTCACAGCTACCAAAGGAGAAAATGAGTGAAATGGGAAGCAGCTGGCAGGTGCTGATCCCACAAGTCAAGAGTGCTCAGCCCCCATCCTCCCACACCACACAGCAATCCGTTAGTATCACTCAGATGGAGTGAATCATGGTTGCCTGTGTGCATGCTTACTTGGACACAGGTTTATTTCCCCTGCAAGTCTGGAAGTCCTTTCAAGGTTGGGATTACATTGACCAAGATCCCTGACTCTCTCTGGTACCCACTCAGAATTCTATACCTTTAGTACCTTTAAAGGATATAGCAACCTGGTCCCCCATCTTCCAGCCCTTTTTCTTCCCTGTCCTGGCCCAGATCCTGGGCAGGCCTTGCAACTGGTCCTCCACAGCACCTGTTCAGCCCATCTTACCTGCTCGTCAAAATTCTGATCATGGATCAATACTGCAACCTGTCACTCCCATGTTCAACTCTGAGTTTCTGGACAGAGCCATAGAAAACTTAATTGTACAAATGTTTCTCAAACTTTCTGATCTCAGAACCTCTTTGTAACTTTTAAATATTAGTGAGTATCTGCCACTTGGGTGACTGGGGGAGGAATACATGGAATTTAAGACCAGCAGTAAAGTGAGTCGCCATCTCAAAAATTTTTTTCTTTAAGCTGGGCGCTGATGGCTCACATCTATAATTCTAGCTACTAGGGAGACAGAGATCAGGAGGATCACAGTTCAAGGCTAGCACAGGCAAAAAGTGAGATCTTAACTCAAAAACACCCAACATTCACCAAAAAAAGGCTAGTTGAGTAGCTCAAAGGTAGAGTGCCTGCCTAGCAAGTGTAAGTCCGAGTTCAAACTCTAGTAGTATGAAGAATTTTATTATTATTTTTTTTTTACTGAGAATCACTTTTAAAAAGCAGCCAGTTCAGCTCAAGTAACTGCAAGAACACTCTTCCTTGAGAAAACCAGTGCATTCTATATGCAGCAGAAAGGCTGTATGTAAAGTGTACTTCCCATTTGCCATACAGAATATCATAAAGACTTTTATTCAAGATGGGATTTAATGAAGCATATACTTTTTGCTGTTTCATCGAGAATATACTTCTGTGAATCTGGCAACATTTTTAGGTGGGAGGCTGTGGCAAGACAGATCTAGGGACCACACTGGTGCCATGGCCAGTGCTGGCAGTCTTGATTACTATTGTTTCAGTACCATGGGGGCAGATAGCAATGCAGAGAAGTGTAAAGATGCCATAGTGCTGTGAAAATGGTTTCAGCTGGTTACCGTGCAAAGTCCTGAGGACTTCTTGGGTCTATGCAGCACAAGACTGAAACTGTTGTGCTACAAAAACCTGAGATTTTCCATCTTATCAAAGCCCTCAACAGCTCTAGAACAGCTCTGGTGGGCCCCATCCTCTTTCTAAGACCCTCTCCATGTCACATGGCTTGAATTATGTCCTTCTTACCAAATGACCCTCACTACGCTCAACAGATCTTACAGAGGTAAGATGACAAAACTGAGACCTGTAGAAGTGATCTTCCTAGACTTCTCCCCACCCAGACCTGCTCACATGCTCTGAATTAGTAAGAAAGAGACAGACTCTCAAAGCCAATCCTCTATGAGCCCATTCCTTCAGATGGAGCAGTCATTTCTGTCTCCATTCTAAACTTCCCACTTCCATTCACTGTTTCAACTACTCTGTGTGTTCAGCAACAATCCCCTAATTGGAAAACAAACCCATGTTTTTCAGTCTCTTATCGTGCTAGCCTTCTCTGTTGCACGGACACTGCTGTGCAGTCCCCTTTCTAAAATGCCATTTCCCATTTCTGTGAAATTGCATGACTCTCATTCCCTTTTTCCATTGTTTTTTTTTTCCTCTTTTAAAAAATATTTCAAAAGCAAAGTATTTAATGCTGTTACACTGATTACAAAGTAAATTGCACTTTAACACACACACACACACAGCAAAATATGCATGTCTTCCATTTATGGATCCACTGTATGAACTGAAATTTTAGTGCTTAAGATGCTGCACAAAAACAGAAAAAACAAAAAAACCCACATGTTCATCAATAGGAATAAAGAAGCTGAAAAATATGGACTACCTCATGAATTTGCATGTCATCCCTGCACAGACAGGGTCCATGCTAATCTCTGTATGTTCCAATTTTAGTGTCTGTG